TGATCATCTCTTATCGAGGGATCTGCTTTCTTCAATCCGCTAAGGCTGTTATTGGACTGGGACTTCCTAAGGTCGCAGTCAGTGACTTGTGTTTGTTTGCCATTGTGGGCTCCCTGCGTACTTATGACACTTTTATGCGTGGTACATATCGTTGAAGGTATATTTTTGCCATTTAATCTCACACCAGACCCAGTATGACGGTCACTTTGTGCCTGATGTGGGGGTCTTGACTGTGCTAGCGCACACTGCGCCTTGAAGAGCATTCACTATTGTTTGTGCTTTCTTTGGTTTTTGGTCTTTAGACGCGTTACCATACCAAAATCTTTACATACTTCGGGATTCACCTCATCAGACTGGCACTGTCCTTGGCATGATTTCGAATGAGACGTTTCTCTCTTTTCTCCCATATTCTCCTGTTACTCCTTCGCATCCATCGCTTGCATTCACTTTTTATGTTTATGACCATGCTCAAATAAAATAAATGATAATTGGTGGATACTGTAGTCTGAGTGTATGTGTGTGCGTGCGCCCAATGTTTTGTTTTGAAATGCATGTTTCGTAAAATTTCTCTTCAAAAATAAATGATAATTGGTGGATACTGTAGTCTGAGTGTATGTGTGTGCGTGCGCCCAATGTTTTGTTTTGAAATGCATGTTTGTGTACGTAAAATTTCCAAGACCGGACCGGCTGAGGTATCCATGAGATTTTGTGTGCGTGAGCGGAATCCGTCACGATCAGGTCATTGTGTGAGTTCCATCTGTTTGTTCACCTGCAAAGTCAGTCATAACCAGATTGATGAAATCCCTGTGATTAACACTGAATAGGTGACTAAAGAACTCGAATGATTCATCCTAATGATAAGATCATTGTTCCCGACGTCGACCAGTAATTGCACATTGGTTAGTTGAATTGCGTTCTAGCGGCCCCACCCAACAGAACTTCCTTTGGGGGAAAATCATGAGATTTCGTCATCAAGCTTTAGAAAATGTGTCATCTCAATAGCTTCTTACACAACATTCAACAAGTTATTCCTCTCCAGTGGACACATTTACAAGCAAAAGTGAAGATAAACATCTGGTCAAGTGGCTCTCAAAGTGAGCATTCAGCACCAGCAGATTAGGTCGGCATGAGGCGGTATCTGTTTTCTCTCTCCCTCAAAATTCATCATCAAAATACGGTATCATTGAAGCACTTTATCAGCCAAAACCAGTCAGCGGTAGGATTTGGGTAGATCAATGTAACATCGGTGCATAGTCTACGCATCGAAAAACCGCCAGGCATCGAGGCAACGCTAGTTATCAAGCACAAATGATGTTGCCTTCACTATTGATGAAATATTACCAACCAAATTGTCAAAACGAGGGAACAACATAAACAGTGTCTGTCCCACCTGAACTGTCCGCACTCCCCTAAGTAAATAAATAATGTCCATTGTAGGAAAAAAGTTGCCGAGCCCGTGAAAGTGTGGAGTTCAAAAGCTGGTCTACCATTTTAACGAAAATATGACACACGTCAAGCGATTTTGAAAGCCTTTCGAAAAAATGAGTGGATGTTGCTGCCAAGTCATCGCTTATTGATTTTTCAGCGGTTTGCCAAGATTCGATTAAAACCAATCCTCAGTCGAGTCAGATTGATATATGCAGTACTGGCATAGACTTGTAGCTGGGCCGTGTAAATATGAATCATTGTGGATATCATTCATTAAAAATTCACAAAAATCAGAAGTTCTCTACTTGACCACTTGAAAAACCGATACATTCTTTCTTGTCAATTGAATAGACTACCGATGTGAATGAACTGTCCTCTACTAGATATTTAAAGTATGATACAGAGAAGCAGTGTATAAGGGATATCCTGAGCTGTGTATCCGAGAAAGCTTACTGTAACAGATGGGCTGAACTGAACGGCAGACAACACATCTGAACAAAGTCAGACACCTTCTTTGCAAAGCGCCTATTCAAAGCGAAGCCCAGAGATGCTGTCGTATCTACTCATCCGGTAAACAGTCGGTTGTTCTCTTGCATTTTAATCCATTTCGTGGTTTTGTCTGGCCTATGTGAGCACTGTGCGAACCCGTGCGTCTCCCCTTTACTCTATAGTGCCTGATAGATGGAATCACTAGTTGAAAGGCGGGATCGTTCTTTCGTATAGTTTTATTCCTCGAAATGAGGCTGTCTCAGAAATGATATACACATATATGTAATTGATCAGTACATCGATATATCACGCAAGTCATTCACATTTTGGTTGTCAAACATATTATTAACTAGAATAGTGTCATGCACGTTTATGAGCTCTCTTCCAAACAAGGACATAAACGTAATTTGGATCAGCTTTTACTGGGACTTGTGATCTGGATTACTTATTTTGCCGTTTTTTCGCTCTTTCGTAGTTGGCCATTGAAGGTGAACATCCCCATGAAAACGCGTGAAATTCTTTTGAAGTCACCTCTGAAACTTGAAGGTTCAATATTGATTGAACTGCAAGTGTACGAATTGCCTTTTTACTTGAAGTTCAGAATACCAGCCTTGAGTTGCTGATCAATACATCAGTAAACAGTCATTTTTCCTTATATAGGTACTGTATTTGCCACACTGCCCAACAGTTATGCAGCAGGTAATAAAGATTCCAAAATATTCATTTGTATTTGGTTCTTCTTCCTTTTTACGATATTGGCTACGTGCTGTTCTCTGAGCGCGCCTGTGCAGGATATGACTTTGACCCAATATCTGCCTTCGTCAACACTTACCTGTATCTCGTCTGGGCGGGCTCCCGAATAAGTGAGAAATTTATGCGCATAGACTGGGCCATTTTACATTCTAATTTATTTTCCATTCCACAGCAGTGCCTTTCTTACATGACCTGACATAATTAAACGACAGTGGAGCAGCATCGATCTTGTCCACCACAACCGAGCGCTCTAATCTAGTCATCAGGGACTGGAGGTGTCTCAGTCCACGTGATTTCTTCGAGCTTCGCAGGATTTATGAGGGATATTTGCGTCGATCAAAATACCGCCATCAAATTTCGGTATGATGTCTGAGCCACTAAAGCTCCACTCTCAGACAGCACTTGGAGTTTTGATTGAATATGGTGAAATGCTTTAACAGATACTGTATCCGGGAGACTGGTTGTTTTAACCTTCCTGTGTTTATTGCCTAATTATTTTTGTCATATGAATGTCAGGAAAATTTTTCATTCCTTTATCAACCGTCCGCCGTTAAATGCGAATTATACTAATCGTTTCTATAGGTTTTAGTCCCATCATTCTTTCGTTCAAACGACTTTAAAGATCGACTTATGCATCGAGTGCAATCAGTTTCATGACTGCGACAGCAAAACTACTTAAGAAATACCATCCGTTGTTATCGTCTCCAAAGAACGACCCATTGATGTCGATTCAACTGAGAAATAACCTCTGATCGTTATTTTCTAGATTTCTAAACTCGCTCGCTTCAATTTATTCGGTAGATTTGAGATGCGCGTCTAATTTTCTTCTCATCACGCTACAACAACCACTATGTGTTTGTCGGTCTGCGAAGATGTTCGCACACCGTGTATGTTTGGCGGTATATCACAGCCTTTCTTATTTATGGCCAGTTTTGCCGATTGATTGTCAGCTTGATTATCACCAGGCAGAGGTTGATAATAAAATGGAATTGACGCGGCCTGGGTAACGATAGGCGTTTTTATCTGCTTTCTTATGGCTCAAACATCTATGCAGAACAAATAAGATCAATCAACAGTGGAAATCTGGTTCATTCAGTTTGAAAATTAGTGGTTTTAGTTGACAAGAAAATATTTGAGATAGCCTTCAAGGCGGACAAGTAAAGCGTCAGCTTCAATGTTCACCAACTAATCGAGAAACAAAAGGGCGACAAGCGTCTGTACAAGGAACCACATACGAATCTCGAAGCTCCTGCTTTGTATTCGGAAACGCCTAGTACGGACGCAGACCCTCACATGAACGAACAGTTGCATTTGAATCGCACATAGCACCCGAACACCACGTCAATTCCGACAAACTTTCTGGTTTGGGCTTGAATGAATTCAGTTTACATTGTTAGGCGATTGCACCTCCCCTACGTCTAACAATCAAAAGCCAGTTCCGCAAAGTAAGTTGTCTTGGGTCGTTTTGAGCACCGTTCGGCATTTTTCTCTGAACTGACGTCAAATTGATAAATTCTTGCACCGGCGAATGCAGGCAAATCAATGAAACTGTGAGACACTTCAAGGCATGTGTTGCCGGCCTGGCTCTAATCAGCTTAACAACTCAAGTAGTTGTTGCCTCAGGAACGCACTGGTGAACATCTGAAGGGCCAGGGTTACGCTGTAAACACCTAAACTTCTTATAAGCTTGTTCCTTACATATAATTACGGTTAAGTCCGGGTGATTCCAATGCTTTTGTTGCCCATAATTAGGGCACCTCTTTGTGTAAACCAACACGTAGTTCCTAAAGCCAGGTTTGTTCAGCAACTAGACACTGCAAAACCATTTTTCCTCAGTTTGATCGAACTGCGCTCTTCGTCGCACATCAGTTAACTCATCTAGACCATACTTTGGCCAACTCAACTTCATAGTTCTCCCAATTCGTACAATTCGAGTGTTATCTGTTTCAAACCAGTATTCTATCCATTAGCACGACCACTTAGACGACTAATTACTCTGTATTTTAAAGCTTCCTTGTGATCTTGTGTGTGTGATGTGACCTTGTGAACTTATGTAGACATATCACCACTAAAATCAATGTATGCTAAGTCACATGAAAACGGATAACGTTTAGTATGATTGGCTCTTAGCAAGAAATTTCGCATTGCGAAATCGGCTCCTTTTATTTGTATTTCTGGGGCAGAAATAGAAACATCGAACGTTTTAATCCTGCTCTAACCCTGTTGTCAACCCAAAAGGCAATTACGATAATAAAAAAATACTTCGACTGCTCACACATTAAATCTCTAGGTTGTTTTAATTCGCTAAGCGTGTATTGCTCAAACTGTTTCTATCTCGTCTTATGCGTCTGCTGCCTATTTTGATGAGATACAAACAAAGGCAAAACTTTTAATGCATGAGGCACATTTTTCCGTCCTTGGGAGATAGAAGCACTGATTGCGAGACGCCTTGTTCTCAACCTGGCGTCTAGCAAAATACTTTTGCGCGTGTGAGATGCGTATAAATAAATAATCTCAAAAATCAGAGTTCATATTTTTGTTTTTGAAAGTTTAGACACTTTGTCATGAGTTAAAAACGTCTCAGATGATCCTTGATCAATGTAAAGCAGTTTGTATGTGTTTTGTGCGTGCTTTGACTGGGGCGCTGAGTCCTGCGAAGGCGCCACCAAATGTCATTGGATGTGTCAACCATCAATTTGTATAGTTTTCACACTATTCCCATCAGTCTTTATGTCAGCTAAAAGACCGCAGACACGATGTGTTTTCTTCAGAAAGAATTTATGCATGCATTCCTGATAACTTCTTGGCAAACATCTTCAGCTGAGTGCATACGTTTACAAGTGGGAGCACAAATTTTATAGAATAGCAATCTGCTTCCACTGTTTTATTTATTTCCAGGGATCTATCATTTTCACTTGCACCCAAAACATTAAGAAGGATAGTGCTTAAGTTCGGTCTAAAGAAGGCCAAACAATGTGTACGCCTCAGAATCTCTTTCTTGGCCGCAAAATTGATAACGTAGACATGGAGTTAATCCCGAAGCGTTTACATTACGAAATTACTTTGTGGATGACATCGCTTTGTGAAGAAGGAATGAGTGTGTACACTCGTGCGATCAACTTTTCTTTTGACTGAAACACATTGTAAATCTGTGTGACTAGTTGCGGTAATTGTATTGTAGTCGCCAGTTTATCGATATATTGCATCAAAACGTCTTAGTCGCAATGACCGTTTATGTAAGGATCGCCCCCCCCCCCAAGAGATCTGATCGGAATGGCTCACTTCTAAGCAAAGTTTCTGTTATGTAACAAACAAGAATAATCGATCGATCGATCAGCTGTAGCACACTTTCGTTGCCCAACTGTAATGCCATCAGAGGGAAGCATGAAGACTGGGATACTGCCAGGTTGCCCAAGCCTAAACAGAGGAAGTTGAGAGGCAGAGGTTGGGTTCTAACCGTGAACATTCTGGTCAGTAACTTCGCGTTCTATCCACTGAGCCAAACAAGTGAACTTGAATAAAACGTACAAATTCAAGCAGAATATAGATTTTTTTGAGAATGTTTTAAAAGTGTAACTTATCTCAGTACGCAGCATACACATAATTTAACGGGCCACAAATGCCCAAAGTTTTCTAAATGTTATTTGGTGAAACATGTACTGCATGTCTGTTCTTGTTGTCGGCGAGGAAGACTGTACTGTTCTCTGTCATTTGCCGTCTCACCTTTTGTAAACCATTTGGCCGGAGATTCTTTCATTGCCCGAAAAACGATCAGTTATGTTAAACACGCTTTCTCTGACACAGGAAAGTCAGGATATGCATTATAGCGGAACGTAAACCAAAATCTTCAGAAGTGACCTTCAGTTTGAAGTAGTAAATGTCGATCGACTGCACCCAAATTGGATTAGGTAGCGTTAAATTTTCGATTATTCGACATCCAGTTTCAATAGTACTTGTGGCGTATTAATCCGTTCCACATTTATCCGTAAGGCTAAAGTTTAATTTCATTCAGATGTGCCTATCATTTCACAGTTAAAGTATTTGTGCGAATTCAAACTGTTTCACTGTGCAGGTTTTAGAAGGGCAGCTGATGCTGGTATCTATGGTCAAAGCAGTGTGCTTAGTTAACTCAAATAACCTGTGATTTATATCTTTTTTGAAGATAAAGCGAACAGTGCCTGCCCCATTTTATTGTTTGAATGCGATAGCATAATGTAAAGAGTCCTCCGATATTTTAATGTTTGGCGTTCCCAGAGACGTGGTTTGAAGGAACCGCAGCTATCCCGTCTGCCTGGCTATTCATGAACGGCAGACGGACAAATTTCTTGCAAGATGAGTAGCCGGCTGTTAATAGCATCAATATTCTGTCGTTTAACCCCAAAGTGATCTTTGAAAATAATACGTGAGCCCAAAATCATGTGGCGTAATCGTGCACCTATGGAAAAATGATTGCCGTTCCGGCAAATAGCTTCAGGTGTACACTAGGTTGGTCTTGACAGGGATCCAGTGAATGCAACTAAGTTCCCCGTTCATAATCATTTTCCTAAACATCGTGTATTCCACAAGGCCGCTTTGTGTTTCGGTTGTTAAGATAATCGAGATATCATGATACACTCTCTAGACGAAGGGTTTTGAGCAAACTTGCCAGAAGTGTGCCACATCCATACTTGTGGTCTTTTATTTGCCGAATCGAGTTTTATGTTTTCACCGCTCACTTGTTGCAGGTTTATATTAGTTCATTAATTGTCCCTGTGATATTCTCAATTGCATTGAACTGTCATCCATGAGGTGTGGGCGATCATATGAGCGATCATCAAAGAACCCAGACCAGATAAACCTGAACAAAAACCGCATTACATGGCGCATTTCAGCGCCATGTTCTCCTGAAGCTGACTAGAACAACCGTAACTAGCGGCTTTGAACTGAGCTTTAAGGCNCTCCACCTTATTCCCAGTATGGGTCTTCAACTAATTTGTCGCCTTTTCCGATTGGTTTCATGTTTTGGCATGAGTCAAGTGGCAATGCTGTCAGGTCCGAAATATGAGGTCTTTCACTAGAGTGTCTCTATTCAAAGATATCTTTTGGGATCATACACATGAATTCAACCTGTATTCTCCAACCACTTGAGTGCATTTATTTACTTAATTCTGGGATAACCTGGAGGCTAATAAGTTCGTTGGGGAAAGTAAAGGCTACTTTCTAGCGAACGCATCAAGGTTCAATTGCACGCTTTTCAGCTTCATCAGCAGGTGTTATCGAAGTTAAGTGGGCTCTGAACTGCACATCAAGCAGCCGAGTACCCGTGCATCCACTCGAACAAATGTTCATGAACCAGTGAGTAGCGTCATTTATGTCCTAGCCTAATCGTTTCTGCTTTGTCCTTACCACTTGTGAGGAAAAAAGACCATGTCTTAGTGAGTGTTAGATAGCCTTGCAAAAATTTAGAACACCCATCTGAATGCTGGCAAGTAGTCAGCTTTGATTCATGGTCAGAAGTGAAATTTAAATGATTCCTGCTTTTTTGAGTTGCAGAACGCCCTCTGCCATCGGTCATGTTGACCGATAAATTCCATTTCCTAGTCCAAATGAGTGCACCAATACTCTGTACGGATGATGCCAAGTTCAATGCAGACGAATTGCTGATAATCAGACAATCTGGCTCACTAAATAAAACAACGGTTATTGTCACCACTCGTAAACTTCATGATTTAGTTTCGCTCGGTAGGTGATAGCTACCATCACATAGAAAACTCGAAGTTCACAAATTATATTCACTGAAAATCATCCCTAGCGCTCATATGCTTGTTTGTTCCCATTAATTCACACGAGAACTCCCTGAAATTGATTGTTACGATTCAAGTGGGTGTACGGATTCGTAAACACTGCGTATCAATTTCGGAACCCAATCGATGTGACTGCCAAAAACTCTCGTGTTCCAGATAGCGTACTTTAGAGGGCCACTTTATCGCGACACATGGATTTTTAATCGCTTTACTATCCGCTTGACATTGATCCTGGATAAGTGTTTTCAGGTGTTATCACGGGAATACATTCCGAATTCATTTTATGCAAAGTGAAGTTCAAGCGGTAAGCTTGTTGATTTGTTTTCTTGTTCACTTCCAATCTTATTTCTGAATGAAACTATGACTCGTGTTGCTCGGTTCTTCTATCGTCACGGACATTAACCGAGCCTTGGCTCGGGAATGTTTACATCTCTGTAGACCGGTTTGCCGCACTGCGAGAGGTGCAAGCCACTGTGGTCCAGATGTTCTGTACTCTTGTCAAGTGTTTGGTACTCATTACCAATAAAGTGTATCGCAATATCAATAACAATTTATTACCATGTATTTACTGCGAGAATTCTCCTGACCTGATTCATCGATTAGGATATTCTTCCGATCACCATTTCCAATGGTTTCGTCTGTGGCTATATGTCCTAGGTGAATTTCACTTAGCCAGAGGTCGTTTCAGTTCAAAAAACGTATTCACCTTCGTGCTTCCTGCTGACGTTTACCAGATGCGCACATGTTAACTGTGATGTATTTCGGTTATGGAGAGAGTAAATTCTCCAAGTATATGTTCCTAATTTGAAGTCTACGCTGATACATTCGAAAGCCAGGCGGTTGTGATCCACAAAACTCACAGGAAACGCTCGCCGGTCTGGCGCACCGTGAAGGCTGTGGCCTGTTAAACTTTCGCATGTAACCTCGGGATGATTGCGATCACACATATACAAAGGTCCAATTATCTGCGTAGCCCCAGTTGAGTTTGAAGTCGTCATAAAAATGAACCAATACATACTACTCAGTATGTCATCCATACACAATAATGCGCAACAAATTGGATGATCAGTGTGGTTCTGAAGCACGATAACACCTTTACTTGATCGTAAACTCGCTGAACGTTCTGCACTGCATCAATCTTCTACTCCCTGGTAAGCAACATCATTTTTTTCAAGTGAAATATTTAGAAAGTTTGCACTCCGTTCAAACTCCGTCCGCTCCGTTTCCCATTAGCGAAGTTTTGCTAAATAATATTTGTGGAATTAAAACTAATTCATTCTTGCGGCAAGCTCACAAGTACGTCAAGAAATTTAACCCGCTAAGCCGTAGCTATATTGGGGAGCAACAGGTTCGTTGAGAGATAGAAAACTGCAAAGTCAGGCTACTAATTGGTCATTGGAAGTTCACTCACACATTCTACCCCGATTAAGAATATTTACATGGTTCGTTTATCTCAAAAAGATGATGAGAGCTTTGCAACTGGACTGTCCTGGTCTGCGAAAAAACATAGTCACTTTTTGCTATCTAAGCCTCCAACATTCTGCTCAATGGTACGCAAGATATTACTTTGTTACAGCCCAGCAGCAAGGAGCATACCTGCCATTAGAGTTTTGGACTTGCACTGATTCCACTGAAACGGGTAAATTATTTGGGCTTTGTGGATAGGGCTCCATCAAGAGGTTTGCAGCCGTGTCCAACAAATTTACGGTTGTCAAACAAATGGTGGATCTCACACACGTTGACAGACCCCAGGGATTTCTCAGTGTTATTCGAAAAGTTAGTTTTGGCCATTTTTATCCAGGAATATGCATGTGGATGTGATTGCATAAAAGCTTTTGAAGTGTGAAATGTACCGAAATGATTGAGAGTGACGTAAATGAAGTATTAGGAAACAAAACAACGTGCTTAATGTTTTAATCAGGATCGGAAAGTTTCATGTAAATTAACCCGGGGTTGTTATGAAGTTGGACGCTGACATAAAAACCTTGAAGATTTGCGGTATTGTTGATACCGTTTTTGTTGATATTGGTGAGCCTTTTCTGCCAAGAGTAAATCTGTGTACTTGAATCTCCATAACACAATATTGGAAACCTGAGGTACTGAAGTGCCCGAAGCAGCACAATGGTTAAAGAATAAACGTATTGACAGAAATGTCCGCGGTTTTGGAAAAAACCCCAGTCTCTTCTCCCCTCGTGTCAAGCAGCATCTCACCCCTAGTCCTTTCTTCTGCTCGCATGGAAGCAAGGTTTCGAAGGCCTAACTCGTTTCTCCCACCTAGTGGTGTAGCAGTGTTTTATTCATTTGGTGTTCTCCAAAGCGCAAGTTTTCAATTCATAGTATGTCTCACTGTATTTCCCCTTATATATTTTTATCATAGTAAGCCATTTAGTAAACAGAAAGATGTTGACTTAATGGCATGAACGTTTTTTACCACAAAGTTCCCTTGATATCCGAGTTCACTCTACCCAGAACAAGTACAATTAGTTTATATTCACCGTTTTTTCTATTTAGAATATCCTTTTCCACTGTTGTCTTGATTGTTCTCTTACGCACACACTGAAATCAGTGGTCAAATGGGCAAATCAAGCTATCCTGTAATAATTAGCTTGTCTTCTGACGTCTGTGGCGTGACTACACCACCAATGCATGCACAGTTCGCCTTTACTGTCCCGTCGGATATGATGAGTACTTTTGGAACCAAGCCTCCATATTGAAGTACTCATACTAAATGAAGACCTTCCAGACTGGCTTACTCAATCGGCGCGTCGTCGGAGGAAACCAGTATCGTTACTCAGTCCTCATTTGAAATGTTGGGTAATACATTACACTCATGCTTGTTTCTTGGTTGAAGAAAGTGCAGTTTGTTCATACTGGATGCCAGAGACGGATATCAACCCCAGCTATTCTCAAAAGAGCAACACCTGAATAGAGTGCATCTGCTTCTGTGTGGAAATAACCACAGGTTATGGACTACAATGAGAGCAGCCACAATCTGTTCGCGTTTATCTGACCATGCAGCCATTCTTATCAGGCTAACCAGCCCAAACTAAGATCGTCTTTCAATAACCTAAACTTTCACAGAGGTAGGTTTTATCTCCTATAACGGAAAGAAAAACAGATAACCAGGCTTATTTCATCCCGAAGGGGAATAAACGTGAGATAGTTTTGATCGGACTTCTATATTCAGGTAGATTATCTTCTAAAGGTTACCTTGAGTGGGCTTCAAGTAGGGGTTCACCAAATTCAGTTTGTTCTTTTGCAATTTTTTCTGCCCATTTCGTCTATGCGGTTTCGCGAGCACAGCGGATTTCTTGTAAAACAGATTTTCTATTCACTATGGTTAGTCCAAAACTGATTCGATAGACGTAAGCAAGCATACTTTCAGGAACATTCTGTACTGAAAACCGAGAATAAATGGAATTTAGCTGAATCTCTCGTTTATGATGCTTTAAGCAACCAAATGTGCTCATGGTGTTTCATTTAGCGAGACATTCGAGGTATCGCCAAACACGTACAGACGTAATACTCTATTCACGAAGGAAAAACGTCTCCAATGTCATGCCAACTGAAACAAGAGGTGGCCCTATGCAGCACATTCAGTTACTTAGAAGCTTCATAAACGAGAGATTCAGCTGGCTTACAGGTGAGTCAAACGTCAAGACCAAATTGAAATGCAAATGAATGCATTTGTCAATAAAACGGTATTCTTTTCAAAATAACCCCAAGGTTACCACAGTATTAGAATTCTTATCAGCTCAATCTCAAATATTTAGGTTATTCTGGCCTTGGATTCTCGTGCTAACCGTTCCTCTTAATTAAATTTGTTATAAATCAAACCACATTTACTTTCTTGAGTTTGCTCTCCAAATTATGTTGATACTCAGGCCTCTATCTGTCCGTTTGGGTCGAAAGCCCTTGCATAAAAAATCACAAGTAGAACCGGTCCCATTCCTGAGTATACTGCTTGTAAAATATAAAGTAATGACGAATCGAGCTGAACTGCACTAGTGATATAAACATACGTGTCTTGATTCGTTTGTCGAGGTCTTTGCTTTCTGTTATTCATAACTATCACTTCACAGAAGTAGCAAGCACGGAGCCAGTGGCACAAATCCATAATGCTCGCTACCTCGAAGCATGAATGATTGTCATTCCGTTTTGATCTCCCTGTATGCAGAACTACTCAAGAAGCAGGCGGACGCGAATATCGTTAGCTCGTGTGTGCCACTTGGTTGCTACTCTGTTCGCCGAGCTTAGCAGCTGAATTCCAAATGTTTAGTCACCAATCAGAATTGACATCTCCAGTGAGTACTGATGCGTCAGTGTGTAAGCAATCTGAAATCAAGCCCAGTGGTCCGCGGATAACAAAATAATATGCTATTCTCGCTCAGAAATGCTTGAAATTAAATGTGAAGGAGAGTGCTCTCAGTCAAAACGGGTAGTCATACTTAAAAGATTAGGAGCATGTCAAGCTGCTCTTGCAACTGGTTGAAGGGGATTTGGAAAACTCGGACCGTTTTAATCCAACGTAAGAGGCTCATAGGGCAAGCAACGACAGTTTCATCTATTTAGAAGTCCATGAAACTGTCTGATCAGACGACATCAGCACTAACCGACTGAAGTTGGTTGGAGTCCGTCGAAACCGGTCTGATTTTCGTGGCAGCATTCAGGAAGTTTTGGAGGACTGGTTGCTCACCGGCAGCCGCAAAAAATTTCCGGACCGTACGTTTGTGACTGTCTATGTAGATGAAGTGCCATCGGCTACTTTTCGTCAACCCGACAGTACCCTTTCTGGAGAAACGTGGTCTTCTAGCACTTTAAAACGAAGACATCAACAAATGTGGGATGATGATTGAACGGTCTACGACGAATTGGCCTCAGAGTTTGTTGACTCGCTTGACTGACCAGTCGATCTGGTTTCTGTGCCGTCATGCTCCTTAACTCTTGGAGGGCACTCGTCCGAATTGCCGGATCATCAAAAGGGTAACATAAAACGAGTGCGGCACAAATAGTTCGTCTGCGAGAGATGAATGTTAGACTATAGCTCACTTCCCTACTTTGCCCATCTTCGTGTTTTATACTGGTTTTGGCATTTCTACGCATCTTTTCATTCTTCTAACCCCTATTCGCATTTCCATGTGTGCACTTTTGGTACTCCGGTCTACAAACTAGTGTAATTCAGGGGTGAATTTAACATATGCAAACGCCAAGGCATTTAGTTAACCGTAAATGCCGACTCGACAAGGGCGAAGGCAGCAATAGTAGAAAGTGTTTTGCACGCAGCAAACTAGTGCATATGAAAAATCCCCCTGAATATTTTTTTCTAATGATAGACAAAATTCATGAAATCTGGACAGTAAAGGAGGCCACCAATGGATGGCCCGAGTTATGATTTCGCCACGGTACAGAGAACACCTTATTCCGTTGATCTTTGTTTATTTGTGATTACGGGAAAGCTCCACTAGTTTCAGCTGAGCATTATTTCTCCAAGTGAGTCACATTTGTACTCGAAGGCCATAAAGTACTGCAAAGCTAGTTTATCAGAATGATAACAAATATGCATCTCATGAATCAGCGACCTCCAAATCGGACCTGCCGGCCATCAGGTAGCTGCCAGGCAGTGTTATCAACCCACACTGAAAAAGGACATGTTACCCCGCGTCGTTTGATTCCAACAGTATGTCAATTTTGCTGTGGACACTAACACTTGGAGTGTATTCTTCAATTAAAACAAGAGAGGACACTGAGGATTCCCTGATGAGGACTGTTCCAAACACTTTATGAAGCAAAAAAATTAACAAAGAATATTGCAGTACCTCTGTTCCCTTCATCCTGAATATGCACTCCTAGTGCGTACACTTCCAACAATAAGGGTTTTTGAACGGAGCCCACAAACTCCCACTTCATAAAGTGCACGAGCTTTTTTATGCTTTTAGGAAACATTCTACTATTCACCTAAAATTTCACATAGCTTTTCCAAAGTTCAACAGCTATGCGATGGCATACTTTCAACCCTAAGCGTTACCTATTAAGCTAAGTATGAGAATAGAACAAGCACACGTCTCCTTTGTTGACTGAGACAGGGGTCCTCCCATTTGGTCTCCAACACATCTGTCTAGAATGTTTTTCCTCACGAATACAGTCACATCTTAAGACTGTAGGTGTTTCCCCCAAAATACCGACAGAGTGTGATGTTTGCCACCAAAGTAATTCAGCTATTTTGAAACCGACTTGGTGTCTGCTTGACACGTTTGTTCCCACTTCCAATGTGATCACCGGTCAAATTACAGTTCATTCTCTGAGCGGATCCCATAAGTCATTAGCCATAAGCTTAGAATTCAACAAGGGCGTTATCCGATCCCGGAAAGCACGGGTAAGTAAGCATGTTCTGCAATATCACGGCCGATCGGATCTGCGTAGAGGGTTTTGAACATGCAACCCCCTGGTTGGAACATGCAGGTCACCAAACTCCAGATCACTCTTCTTCCTAACAGTTTTCACAGCAGATCAATTTGATTTCGGGTGTGATTCTTAATCAACCTGGTACCTGATTCATTCAGACGTTTACCTGAATACTGGAAAACAACTTATTTTTGCGATTAGTCATCGATCATTTTTGAAGTAACTGACAGTTACCATGGAATTAAGGGCTTTTAACGGAAATGTGGCTGTGTTTCTCAAAGTTTGACTAAAACTGCCTTTTCTAAATCTCGGTTTAACGGTTTTGCAACCTCAAATAAAATTCAACCCAGCTGCTGGCACAGTAATCTATCTCAGAAAGTAGGATTTGAATTGTCAACCAAAAAACCAGCGTATATTTCATTTATCTCCCAAGCCTTTGGGATTTATCTGCTTTGGGAAGTAACTATACTGGATTTAGAGGATAATTCACCTGTCTCACCGAGGGTGAGAGTTTGCCTCTCAGGTGTGATCTTTTCATTTTCTATAGTGAATTCAAAGAGGATGTATGAGCTGCTTGGATAAACGCCGGTTATTGTTAAACTTTTTGAATATTCTGACAGAATTTTCTGCATGCCCTTCGAACGAACAGCGAACAACGAAGTCAGTTTTGAGCACGTTTAGGGATGACAAGCGGTTAATAAGGCTTCCAGATAAACAATAAAAAGTGTGGAGCTTCCGGATTGATTTGATTAGGTACATGGTTAGGCTGTGGTATGAAAAGAACTGTTTCTAAGGGACTGGAGCTTACCGTGGTGTGACGGTTTTTAAAATTCTTCGGACTTTGAGCAACACTAAAGGGTGCACGCGTTACAATCACACAGCCTTCATTAGCAGGTTGGTGAGTGGTCAGAGGTTTGACTAACAATCTCTTTTTCCTCCAGTTTGGTGTCGGAACATGTGTGGCGACTTGCTGTTTAGAAATGTAGGCTGCTCTGGCGGTCTTAAACCAGTCCTGCGGTTAGGCTTTTGAGCCAAAGACTGAGTGAATACACTAATGGTCCTCTTACCCAGGTTTGGATGCCCTTACAGTATATATAACCATGAACTGTACATTTACAGATGATCTCGTGCCATACTGACAGTTCCGTAGTGCCACCAGCCGAATGCAGCAGGTGGGTAAGCTATAAGAGTCTTCTTACTGCCTCCCATCATCCTCTTTCACAAATATGTTCTTCTCGGTACGCTCCAACAATAAGGTATTCCTCGGAAACTGATGAATATCATGCACTGTTGTATATAGACATTCGTGGGAGCATGAATG